GATTGTCAAAGATATATATATATGGATATATCTTGATATATCCATATTCCGGTAAGGAATTTCATTAGAAATAAAGAAAATAGTGCTGAACTGTTAAGTTAATCACCAGACACCTGATGTAATCATGCAGTTGTATGAAATAACAATAATGACAATAATAATAATAATGCCCTGATATAATGAAGAACAGCCCAGCATGCAAATTACAAATTGGAGATATCAAAATCAAACGAGTAAATAAATAAATATCTGGGAAGTGTTTTAACAGAGGACGGAAAGTGCGACACTGAAATCCAAAGTCACGTTGGATAGAGAAAGATGCCTTCCAAAAGCTACCCAAGTTATTAAGAAACAGAAAAATGTTGTTAGTTATAAAAAATGTACTAAACTGTTAGGTAATGTCAGTCTTCCTATATGGCAATGAATGCTGGACAATCTCCGCACAGATGAAGAAGAGACTTCAGACAACAGAAATGTGGTTCAACAGAAGGATGCAGAGAATACGATGGACAGAGGACATTATAAGGAAAATGGAGCCGAAAAGGACCCTTATACTCAGAATCATAAAGAGACAACTGAAATTTCTTAGACACAATGAGGAAGGGGGGCTTTGAAGAATTTAACATTCCCAGGACATATCGCAGGCAAAGGGGACAGAGGAATACATCGAGCTACCGACTTGTCGCACATGTGAGTAATGAAGAAGTTTTAAGGAAAATAAAAGAAAAGAACGTTTATACTTAAAACCAGAAAGAGGCAGTTGAAATATCTAGGACACATAATGAAAAAAGAGGACTTGGAGAATTTGACACTCACAAGATATAAGGGCCAAGTGAGACAGATGGAAACAGCGAGTGACCTACTTAACAAGCTTGTGCAAATAGATGACAGAAAAAACAGTCGGAGAGATAGTAAAAAATATTGCAAAGAGCTATAAAGAATAAGAAGTTGTAGAGAGCCATAATCGCCCACATTCTGAACGAAGACAGAAGAAAAAGTTGGGGTGAACTCTTTAGTCATCCTACTGAAAATTGTGCCTCTAAAGTTTCTTCTTGAGCGAAAGCCTGTATCGATGCTTTCAGGCCTTCTCGTAAATACAAGATAAAACCACATTCTCCTTGGTTCATACCTGCAGGTTCAGCCGATATAGCCTACAGGAAATACTTTTTTCAACTATACCAACGTGATAGTTATGATCACAAACGTGTCCTCAAGGAGCCTAAGTCATTGTTCGCTGATAGAATCAGTCACTGTATAGTAGGGCAGGATGACTTTTCACTATTTTTTAGAAAATCAACATTGAACTCGATATGAAAGCTGGGATTTTATGTTAATTAGATTCATAGCTTCTACCAATTTTTGAGCATTTAGTTTTAAAGATCGCCGGAAAAATGTAGAGAAATACCTTTTTTACTTACAAACTGGCTTCAAAATTTTACTATTTCAAGAATAAATCCAAATAAAGTTGATATTTTTTGTATTAGATATTGTTATGTTCCGACAATCCTCGTCGGAACTTTTATATTCCGTGCTAAGAGAATAAATAAGTAACACCAGATGGATACTAGAAGAAAGGTTTATTGTACACAACAAGTACAATATGAAATACGGTACAGTTATACACACAGGTCAATCTAGTAGTGAGTGCCACTAGTTGGAAGGTCGGACGTGCTTGCGTCTTCTCACTCACCCTCTCTCCTCGCTCTTCCAGTCTCTCGTAGACAGTTGACTTTATAGGTACTTACTACCTATAGTGTAATCGTTCATGGGGGTGCCGGGCTATTCCATTACATCAGATATATTGAATGGAAAATATGCTCAACACAGAATTTTAATTATGAATCAACACAAGCAAACTATACAATTTTTTTTTACTGTATTTGATAAGTAAAAACTGTGTAAAAAAAATTATAAAAAATTACGATAAGGTTACTCAATAAATAAGATTTGTCAGATCATTTGTTAAATAATTTGGTAGGACATAATTAATAAAAACAAAAAGTAGATAAAAGTGTACATAACGCCATAATATTGCTGGGCACAAAATGCTTTAAATTTGCATTGTTTATTGGAAATCACACTAAAACTACTGCACTGTATAACAACATATTACATCATAATATAGCTAAATTGTTCAGTATAATTTACCTTTGAAGTAAATGAAGGTTTTATTTGATGGCATAATAATTTAGTAGTAATGTGCTTGTGCCATGCATCTTGTCCATATACAATTTGTAACACTTCAGTAAATTATAAATTTTATAAGGCCATGCTATAAGGCTTTCACTGATCACCGAAATGAAACGCTACGATTTCGAACCTAAAATCAACATTTAAACTCGTTTCCTCAAAAAACGGTAAGGATTTGGAAAAAAAATGTATCATTTCAAACTCCAACTTTCAAATTCAGCGCAATACCATGGTTCCAAAATCGACCTGCCCATACTGTATGGCCTCTCATGAGGTTATACAGTAGCGCAGGTCGATTTTGGAACCATGG